ATTTGTCCATTTAGTTTGTAGGAACGGAGTTAAGAAAAAAACGTAGCAAATTTTCTTCGCTCCCTATAATTTCAAAGGAATATCGTGTGAAAATTTCCATTCACTATAGCTCTTTTTTCTACTCCAACGTGTAGCATCGAGGTAAATAAGCACTCATCGTACGCTCTATAAATGTGGCCTCAAAAGCATTCAAATCTCATTTACATTATTGACTTAATACTAGACATTAATTCCAATATGTTTACATGCCTAAATTACAATTCACTCCAATCATATATCATCCCAAAGTTGTATTAGTAATTAGTAAATCAAAATTACTTCACCACACCCTATATTTAAATATATTTGCTCTTTGATGTTGCTTAATTAAGCTAACAACTTTTGTAATGAAGCCCCCTTTACTAATCAAAACTCACATGGGTGTTGCGTTGTGCGTGTGGCCTCCATACTGCCGGAGACATATGCATGCGGAAAAAAAAAAGGGTAGATGGAAAGAATCTGGCCTCTGCCCAACGTTGAGCAGCGGTAGGTAGGTAGGTTCGTGGCCTCGTTCATTGCACACTATAATCAAGTGAAAAGAGGATAGAAAAATATGGACCGGCGGCTGTATGTACTGAACTTTGATTTCTCCATGTTCAATGTTGATTTAGGTATATTTGGAAGCTTTAAATTCCGAGAAAGAAATTCAGTTCGTAAAAATCCGGAGAAGCTAGCAAAAACAACTTATGGATATGCTATAATTTGTTTCTTTAAATAGTGGTGGACATACTCTCTGGGTTGGTCGGCCCAGCTACAGTGCACGTCACACGACACCCTCAAACCTTATTTTTAATCTTGTTTCTAGCACATTAGTCATGAGCCCACTATTAAATAATCAGATAAATTACGTATTTTAAGTAGGGGTTAAAACATATATGAAAATTTGTGACCAAATGAGTATTATTTCTATATAAGCAGTACCATTTTGACCATTTCTAATTTTGGTCATACATAAAATTTGATTTTTTTATTTCTTTAGGACATATTACAATCTACAGTGAATAGTTAAATTGGTAAATATATAAAAAAATCCACTTTACTCTCCTGAGCTATTTGGTGAAGCACATAAAACCTGAAATAATTTTTTATCTCGTTTTATATCCTTGAACTATTGAAAGCGGTTCCCCTTACTGCCTAACAACATTTCTCTTTTTTTATAATCTCTCTTCATATAAGTCATATATAAGTTATATTTGCACAAAAATTTGGTATGATTGATAGATCCATTATGACCTACCTCTTAATATTTTTTTAATTTTGTCACTATTTACATATGCTTTGAAGCGCTTATTTTTAAAATATTTTGAAGCTTTGATAATGATGTCATTTATGGCCTAGAAAATATTTTCTTAAAATATGACTTGTATAAAGAGAAACAAAGAAGAGAAATGCTATTAAGTAGCAAAGCAAACCATTTTCAATAGTTTAGGGGTCAAATGAGCAAAATATATTTTAGCGGTTAAGGGATCCAATGAAATAGTCCCGGGGAGTGAAATGAATATTTTAAAATATGAATATTCCCATATGCTTATAAATTTGTTTTTAAATAAATGATTTTGTGTTCAATCATTTTCATCCCTAATTCATGGCATAAGGCATCCATCGTATCTCATCTTTGTGACTACGCTTACTGCCTTGCCTACTGACTATGAAGTTTGTTCAACTACTAATTTCCGCTGTTAACTTGCTCAATGTTCGTGTTGTGCGTTGCTGCTGGTGCCGTGAACCGGTGACTATGATTTTTATCGTTGTATCATTATCTAATTAGGTCTAGCTCTTTGCTAGATGCCACCCCATCTATATTTTAAAGTTGCGTCCATCACTATTCTGACTTTTACATCCATAGAGATTCACAATCTATAAGAAATACTAGATTGTTTGGGTACTTTTGATTTGTAGTGAAGTTGTAGTCGTCAGAAGCTCCATAAATATGTCATTAGTCCATACTTAATTTCTCTATGTTGTTCGAGGTATATGAACATGTTTAGAAATCCCAAAGAAAAAAATACAAGTACTACTACAGAAAATAACATCAGTGCCGGTTCGTAATTGGCATCAGTGCCGGAAATAGACCCGGCACAAAATTTTCGCCATTGATGACCCCCTCTCATCAGTGCCAGGTCTCAACCCTGCACAGATGTACTTAGAAGTACTTAGGTAGAATCTGGATAGACTCATATGTGCCGGGTATTCTCTACACTCGGCACTGATGTGGGCACATCTGTGCTGGGTATTTGTAGACTCGACACTGATATGGGTTCATCTATGCCGGGTGTGGGCTAAACCCGGCACTGATAATACGGAGCCAAATTCAAAATTTAGGCTAAAAAATATTTTTGAATACTCCTACCATCTTTACTCATGTATATACAAAGCCCCAACCACTAATATATATTTTTGCAAGTTGTATATAATTTTTGCCATTGCAAGGATTCAAACTCAAGACATCTCCCCCACAAACACATATCCTTACCAACTCACCTGCATATGAATCTTGTTGGCAAATGAATATTTTTTTTTTCTTTTGAGCCTTCTTAAACGAGATTTAAATTTTGAATTTGAGTATCTAAAAAAACTCAAATGAAAAGGTTGTCAGCTACAAAATCATAATCTTATCGAGAGTTACAATTATTATATAAACTTTGTCACAATCCGAGTTTGTATGAAAAAGTTAAGTTCATATATCTGAAATTAGCACTAATATGATTAGGGTGCCGGGTCATTAGAATACCTGACACTGATCTGATTGGCATCAATGCTGAGTATTCCAAAGACCTGGCGGCACTGATGTATTTTCCTGCCAAAAGTCCAATCATCTCGCTCCAAATAGTAAGACCCGTCACTCATGTATCACTCATTAGTGCCGGTTAGTGGCAAGACTGGCACTAATGTGTCGTTGAACAATCAGTGCGGGATGATTATAAGACCGGCACTGATGTCTCCTGATCAATGCCGGCGAACTTGTTTTTTGGGTTGAAAACCATCATCAGTGCCGGATTTTGTCAAACCGGTACTGATGAGGGGCACTGATGTGTGCTCTTTTGTGGCAGTGAAGTCCAAATTTGATACTAGAAAAAGTTTGTAGAAAAACTAGAAATTTTGTACTAAAAAATTACAGAAATATAGCATAACATCTTTCGGGAGTGTGTTATTCTTTTTTTTTTAAAAAAAAATCATACTCTGAGAGAGCAAGAGAGAGCTTAAATGCAAAATTCTCAGCACAACTTGCTAATTTCGTTTTTTTATAATTTACAGATATGTCACATTAAATAAGATGAAATCAAACTTTGCATCAAAATTGTAGAGCTCGAGGAGATCATCTAGTTAACAACTTTCCTTTAAGATCGTTTAGGAGTCTGAATATTCATCAAAGAAAATTTAAAATTTATTTTTACTAATTCTCATATCTACATTTCAAACAACCTCCGATGCAGACAAATTTTATATAAAAGTTGTAGAGCTCAAGTAGGTCTACAACCTTTTAGTTTATCACCTATTCATTTAAAATTATTCAGTGTCAAATAAGCATTATTAGTTTTTTACATTTAAAACCAATGAAAAGTGTGTAGATGCAAAAAAAAAAAGAAAAATTTTAAAGCCCTTCTCGATTTTTGGAAAACGTCCTCCCAAGGAACATTATGAGTATATTACTGTAATTTTTGGAAAAAAGATATTTCTGTTTTTATAAAAAACTAAATATATAAATAAAAAGATTCCGTCTAATAGACCGTCATGGCCAATGAAGCATAAATTTAAAAGAAAACTAATAACTCTTCTATAATTAAGATATGATAGTCTTTTCAAATAAATAATATTTTCCCCAAAAAAGTTAGATATATTTAAATACCTTAGAAATTAAAATATAAATTCAATTCAACTTGAATAAATATAATGAAATGAAATCCATAATGAATTATTTACATAAGTTCATCTCAAATTAAAAGTATCCAAAAATAATATCTTAATAACAATACTATCTTCTATCTATTGTACAAAATATTTGTATATGGTGGTAAGAATACCACTAACGTGTTATAAAACCAACCCGAATTTCACATCGGAAACCAAATGCGAAAGAAACGCCGTAGAAGATCCAAGACTAATAACAACAATGAGGCACGATATTTGACAATGTAACCGTAGCCTACATATCTAGGCATTGATTACAGGAGCTCCTCCCTGATCCAATATAATTACAGCGTATCAGAGTTACAACACCCCTCGGTCGACCCCTGCCGACAGCTGTTACCTCTCGCCTATATTGCTAAGTCACCATACGGTTACAACATGTCCGCCCTCTATTTAAGAGAGAGATTAGGATAGAGTCCAACTCTTACTCTATTCCTGCACCTAGTATAACTCCAAATCTAAACTGTAACCGACTTTATATGCATATTCAATACAAACTCTAACATAACTGAGTCTTTTATATCTAGCATGATCTAAGAGTCTTATTGGAACCTTTTATATTCCATAGAAGTCCTTAACAACACATACGAGATTGAAATTATTGGGCACGCCAAATGGTGCGTTGATTTTTTAGTATATATCTGTTGCAATACTATGGTTGGCCGGATCATTATTCAAAAAAGTACACTTTGGTTAGCTTGCTTGGAAGCCATACAATTGGTACAATGCCAGCGCAAATTATAGACCTGTAATTACTTATTTAACTGGGATAAAACACATGGCTATAACCCACTGAAGTTAGAGGTGTTCTTTTTTACAGGTATAAAATTTTCTATTGTAGAATTCACAAGCAGGATCAAGTTGTAAGTAATAACACATATAGGAAGCAATGTTGGCTCAAAAACCTCATATATCCTCACATGATTAAATTGCAATTAACTAAATCACCGAAGTTGTTTCGTTTTGATGGCTATGCAAATGCAGCCATCTAAGCTTATCTAGTCACTCCAATCCATACATATGCCAGGAAAATATATTAACAGATGTTAGAATTAAACAATCAAATCAGTAGTCCACATGTAGATCACACAATACATTTGTTGCAGCATCACCACGATGCAGCATCAATATTTAATTTATGTCCATTCGTTTGCAATTACACACTGTCACACCATGAACTTCTGGGAACTAGTGGTAGGCACACCACAGAGGCCCATCAGACCCTCTTATTTCAAGCACATACATCATCAACAAATCCACACACACAGATGGTTCTGCGTCACTCCCCTGAGAGACACACACGCGAATTAATTAACTTAGTATGCAAGCACACAACAATATATACAACTCAGAGGTGCTTGCTGCAAGCACATGATGCACCAATTTATTCTTCAGAAAACAAGCAAACACTCGAAACCACTGCAGCGAGACGGAAGAAAGCATGCAGACAACTTGGTTGATCCATCAGTAAATCTACAGAAGCAATGCAAGAAGTATACAAGTGATTAGAGAATCATATATATGAACACAACTAATACTTCCCAGAGACATATATTTCTGACAATTTACTATACATCATATCGATGTGCTCCATTTTTTTTATCAGCTGCATTTGAACTAGCAGTTAGCATGAAGGTACTGCAAATTAAAGCAGGTGGATAGTAGGAGTAGCTTTTATTAATTTGCCGGTGATAATTAATGTAATGTGTACTATACATACATACATAGACGAATTAACATGGAGAAAACAAATACTAGAGAAGGTAGTGAATGCTATTGCATTCATTCATGAGTACCTTAACAAGTGAGCAGCAGTTGATACAGCGTCTGCATGTCGCCTCACCGGAGAAGAGAGCATCTGGGTAGAGCCTTCTTGTAGTACATCGAGTGGCGAGGCTCAAAGAGGGAGGGGTCATGGCCAACATTCATCCCCTCCCATTCCAGCTTCTCCCACCAGTCCTTCTCGCAGTCCACGATTGGGCGACCGTTGATGGCGGGGATGCGCTTGAGAGCCCAGCATCCCCTCACCCTGATTGTCTCGAGCACAGGAGCAACCATCCTGCTGATTTCGCATATCTGATGCAGCTTGGGGACATCATGCAGGTGGATGTGCTTCAGCTTTGGGAATCTCAGCACACCTCTTGGTTGTTCCCTTAGAGCAACTGCCTCCACGGGGAAGATCTGTCTGAGTTCACTGCAGTAGACGATGTGGAGAGTCTCCAAGCTGGGCAAGTGTGAGTATGGAGTAGGCCATGATAGTGGAAGCACAAACGTGAGCCTCGGACAGTAGTGTAAGTGTATACTCCTCAGTTTTGCAAACATATTACTGTTCCAACCAGGGAATGTCCTTCCTCTGCTCCAAATACAATTTGCCATCATGAGCTCAGCTGCTGAAAATGCCTCCAGTGTTTGAAAGCGGTATTTGATATAATCGGTAGAGAAGACAGTGTTCAACTTGTGACATCTCTCAATGTGGCACCTCTTTAGACAATACCATGTAATTTCCTTATCCTCTGTCAAAATCACGTGTTTAGGGTTAACACTGGTGATTGAAAAATTGTCATGTACGTGCAAAGACTTGGCCTTGTTCATCATAAATGATACTGCACTCAATGCTTGTTCACTGACAACATTAGCATAGCTTATTCCCTCTCCGATCTCCACATGGATGTCTAGTGGCTCATGCCGTGGTGCACTGCTGCCTTCCAGCTCAATAGCAGATATCATGGCCAAGTTGACATCCTTGTAGCAAACAACAGGTTGAATGGTGGTGACTATTGGCATGTGTAGAGGTGAGCCAACTACTTTTTGAGCGCTGTAATAGCTCATTGTCTTCTTTTTTGGTGTTGCATCTTTTGGGGTAGAAGAGATGCATATATTTATATGGGTCTTATTGCAGTTCCAACAGAACTTGTTATTGCTTCTTAACACCAAGGATTGAACAAATCTTAAATCCATCACGGTTGCATATGCTTGCTGCTGCTCTGTTTCTACATGGCAAACCAATGAATCAATGTGTAGCATGCTTAGGTTTGGGAATCCTTTCTCTGGCCATAATATGGTGCATAGCTTCTCACACCGTAGCAGAATTATTTGTCCAATACATGAGTCTTGTACATCTCGAAGGTCAAGCATTTTTATCATTGTGCCAGAGAGGTCCAATCCCCTAAGGTTTTGCAATGGCCCACGTAATGTGAAGTTCACCAAGCTCGAGCAACCAGCCAAGGAGATAGATGAGATTTTAGCTTTGTTTCCTTCTCTTGAAGCAAAGCTGAATGATTCAAGCGAAGGAGGAAGTCCCTGGGGGCCAACTTGTTCCAGCACAACACAATCATCTAGGATCAGTGTTTTGAGGCTACTGGCACCACATAGGCTTGGCAAAACTTGTATCATAGTATTCTTAGACAGGTCAAGGATCTCCAGCTTCAGCATGTCAGCAAACTCATCTATTTCCCCTTTGTTACCCCAAGGGTGTGTAGGCTCAATTACTCGAAGCTTTCGAAGGTTCTTCAATCGCCGCCATGCAAAATTTCTGCGCCAAATCCTTCCCTTGTTTATATGTACCTCCCTAATGTTCATTGCCATTTGCTGCTCTCTTGTACTCTCTGTAGGGAAAGGCAGCTCCCAATCTATGTAGCATATGTCTAATACCCATAGCCTCTGAAAAAACTCCAGTGCTGAACTAGTGTTGCTCTTATCCTCTCCAGCTTCTTGTGTCCGATGATCTTGGCATTTATCCAGGCCAAGAAATCTTAAGTTGTGGCAGCAATGGAAAGGAGGTGACGAAAAGTTGAAGGCACAGTTGCACAATCTCAGTACTTGGACTTTGTTTGCTTGATGGAACATGTCATCCGGTAACAATACCACACTTTGGAATGCAATGAACAAGGACGTTGTTTCTAGAGTTGGTTTGTCCTTCATGTCAGACTCCTGGGTGACCAAAACCCATCGATTTGGGGGAGTATCCAAATAATGACCAAAACCAGGCACTCTGTTGGATGAGTAGTCCTCTAGACGTATCTCCTGATGCAGAGCAGCTGCAAGCTCCCATGCTTGGTCCTCCTGTAGGCTACCTCCTCCTTTTTCTTCTTGTACTGTTATTATTCCATCGCAAACCCAATAGTTGCAGGCATGGGTTGCCCAGTTGTAGTCCATGATGTGGCCACCCCTATAATTCAGAGACAATAGATACAAGCAACATTCTGCAGCTTTGGTGCCATCAAGGTGGAGCTCACCTGAGTATTGAGTGATTTCTTCAGCTTCTCTTGGTAATAAATCATTCAAACTTTCAAATGAATAAAAATGATAATAATAATGACTATAAATATTGAGGTGTGAACTGTCCACATTATCTGCAATTTTTGGATTGAGCCGTAGCCTTCCTCTGAAGGTCCAAAGCACTTTATTATCAGACCAATCGTATAGGGGGAAGCCAAGTTTGCTTGTATCAACTGTGTCGTCACTCCCATTATGAAAAATCAACAAACAACTGAGGTCCTTGATGGTTTGATAGATCTCCTTTCCGATATCTGTTACCTCTGCTCTGGAGCTTTCTTCAACCCCGCTGAAATCATCCTCCTCATCCTGCCTATCAAACAAATCCATTACATGCTGAGGAAGCTTGAGTTGATCAGCGATCGCTCTTTGCAGTTGCCTTCGTTTCTTCCATCTCGAGCAGTCAACATGGATAATCCTGTCAAATTTCTTCCTCAGAGATGGCGCTGGATTTTCTGCTATCGCTCTGAGCACCGCAGACGCACCCAGTCCATCCCATCCGTCAAAGTAGATGGACTTATGTGCAGCACTGCTGGTATCCTCCAAGTAAGGGATTAGTGATTCTACCGCCGCCTCAACACTAGTCGCATCAATGCGCTGCATTATATGCCGATTGATTAGTTGATGTCACTCTCACTCCCTGACCGCAAATAATACATAAGTAATTCCTAGTCTGTTATACTAGCTACTAATGTTTAGTTTAGGTTTATATAGCATATCTATAGATTGTTTTTTTAATAATCAAATATCTATAGATTGTTAGTTATTTAAAAGGTGCAGATCCATCAGAAAAAGGTAGCTATAGCTGGCCGCAGAAATAATCCTGGTTACGTTGTGGCAGTGTCACAGGTACAATTTTTTTTTTCCGGATTACACAAATAATTAACCAGCCATATTTGTGGTCATACATGCATGCACAGAAACAAAAAAACACCCGGGCGCACATCATCATCAGAGATAACTAAAGGATGCGGCGATTAGGTTAATTTAATTATTAGCTCAAACATCTCCTCTATAAATTGTTTTTACTGTGAACGCTGACTACTTAAGCTAACAAATAATAATTGCTTAATTAATTACCTATTAAAGGGAAAAAACGAGACGATGTCTGTATATAGGCACTGTACAGCATCACAGGAAAATATGTAGTGCAAACAACATATAACATATGTAGTGAAAATTTGTAAACAACCGTTGGATAAAAAATGGACATTTGAGATTCATCCACATCACCATGAGTAATTTTTACTCATAAGTGAATTTGTGAGTAAAACTTTTACTTTAATGATTGGATGAATCTCAGACGTCTATTTTTTGATCAAACGGTAGTTTTCAGGTCTCACTACGTATGTAGTTTCCACTGTATATTTTCCTGTCCATCACTACCAACAGTTGATAATACAACTGCCAACTGGTCAATGCTTTTTTAAGAAACACGGTATAAACACTGCCACTCACAATATGCGCACAATCATCCCTCTGAGTGCGCACACGCAAATCTATCATTGTTTCGAAAGCATATACAATTAAACTGTATAATTAACAATACTATATGTATGTATCTGCTGCATTCTGAGGAAGAACAAAAAAAAAATACCTCCCGACGCATGATGAATTCCTGTCTATCTCCAAGGACAAGTAAAAGAAGCTCCACAAAACAAATCTAACCCATATCTATCGATCGATCGAGATGGATCTCCACTTCCCCTGCAATAACAAATTAATTAAGTTTTATTCAAGATGGCCATGGATGAACCGGCGTGTTAATCCAAATGCCTATCGTTGAGAAGAAAAAGAAACAAAAACTGCAAGAAATAATTAATTTAGTACCTGGTGGCAGAAGTGATCGTCAATGCAAATTAAGCGGAGTTGTTTGGGGCAACATGGACGTACGGTGTCGCAAAGCAAAAATGGTGATGAACAATTGATCGTCAAGGCCAGGGAACTACCTAGCGAATTAAATAAGCACTTTGATGCGTAGTGTAGCTACTCAATTGTGCTATCTTCATGTTTCGTTTTGGCATTGCCTTTCATAAAGGAATATATCCAATGCTTTGCTCTTTGCTTGGGACACACCTAACGAATAAAGATGAAAGGTAGAAGAAAAGAAAAAAAAAAGAGCTCAATCGATTTTTTATTTTTTTAGAGAAGGGTATATTTTGCCCGGTCTCTACATCCAACCGGATATATGCAGCCTTTTTAAATTAGGAACTTAGCCTATCAAACAACCTAATGTGAAATTCACTCATATAAAGATTTAAACTCAGAACCTTAGAGTGCTACTTAGGTCACTACAACCATTAGTCTACATATCCGTTTTGCAAGAGCTCGATCGATGACTCATCGATATATACATATGGCTCCAACGTGAATTCATTACATCCAAAGCCGATAATCTACTCAGTTATTTCAGGGGAGTAACTTCTTCGCATCACTAGACGCGGTAATTTTACACAACTTCTTTATCTCTATATAGAGATGAAATCAGGTCATGTCCGGTCATATCACGTTCTTGTATCCTATTTCATATTTTTCCTCAGAGCTGGAACAGGTTCAAATCACAGTATATCGTATTGTTCTTCAGTTGGGGCCGGGTATGGATATCGATAGTGCCATCACTTATCATGTATCGTATCCAATCTATATATTTTAATAGTTGGAGAAAAATGTTGACATGCATGCAAAGAGCCACATCATAAAAAAAAAATTAGATTTTGCATATTTCTCATGCTTTGATCTCAACAATTTATATATCATGTACATTTACAACCTACTTAGTATTTTTTTTCGGGGAAAAGAGAATATATTACTCGGAAGCAGCCTCCTCACAAACAAATTGTGAGTTAATATCACAATTTTCGTCTGGCCAAAACTCTATACAGAGTTCAGCACGGGCCTTATTGGCTAGGAAATGGCTAATGCGGTTCTGAGTACGATTGATTTCCGTTGTAAAACTTCCCTGTTTCCTGTGATCAGGTTTCCTATGTCCCGTGTCAGATGGGCAAACTGAGACTTCTCCTCCATCGCAGCCTGGATCATATTCACTGCGACCGAGCAATCAAACTCCACAATGATGGGCAGCAAGGTCCAAGGGCCATAATAATGCCCTCTTTGCAGGCTAGTAGTTCAGCTTCCAAAGGGCTACTGCAGCGCTCGATGAATCCGCAAGCAGAAAAAATGGGTTTGCCAGAACTATTCCTCAGTATCACACCTAACCCGCCTGAACCCGAATTCATACAACCTACTTAGTATAGTTACTAGAATCAAAAGCTTGACATGCATAGAGCCACATCATCAAGAAAATATTAGTTTTTGGATCTTTTTAATGCTTTGATCTCAATCATTTATGTGTCGTGCATTTGCAACCCAGGGCTGTGTTCGGGAGGGCAAGTTTCCCACCTTGCCTCCTGACACGGAAAACAAAGCACGCGATTATATTGAGATTAATTAAGCATTAGTCTAAAAAGCTTGAAAAATGGATTAATATGATTTTTTTTAAAGCAACTTTCATATAGAAAACTTTTGCAAAAAGTAAACCGTTCAGTAGTTTGAAAAGCGTGTGCGCGGAAACAATGAAAGTGAGTTGAAAGAGGGGAAAAGAACACAGCCATATATGTAGTTATTATTATAAATCTCAATATTGGAAAAGTCATTTATATGTTTGGAACATAACAATTTATATACCATGTACTGTCACAATTTTACACCACCTATTATCAAGTTTCTTTTTCACAAGTTATGTCCATGGCTAAACGGCAATTTTCTGTTGACATGAAACCCGTGCTTGTTAATTAAGGAGGTTGTAAATCAGTAGATGATAATGCTACCTTGACGGCCAAGGAAGAAAAGGAATTGAGACAACATTTTTTCTCCTCGGTTCAATCCAGGTAACAGAGATCATTAGGCACCGGTGCCGGATTATTAGGATTATTATATTCCTGCACGCACGATCAGAGTTCAATACTTAGGTATTGGTGGTGTTATCTTAATTTTCTATTGTTGTTTTTACACTAGAAAAAATAATGCATGTGTGTTGCAACGGGTGAAAGCTATTTTAATTTTATTATTGTTATATGGTTTAGTTAATATGAAATTCACTATAGGAATTCGTTTGGACGTATATATATTTTTTTAGAAAATCATGACCTGCAATTAGGAGTCTTTTCTGTATTTCAAAAACGAACAAACTTAAAAGCCGACTCAAATACATATATGTATTTCCAAAAGAAAACGGAATTAAAAACCGACTCATTCACGAATGACGTACCAAAGTACTGGCAAAAACATCTTCAATTTTTATAATAGTAGAGATTAGCATAGATGCCATATTATTTTATTATTCTTAGAGGTGATTAGCTAGAGTGTTAACGTCAAAATTTGGTAAGCCCCGAGGTCGTCATAGGCCTAGAGTCAGTATCAGCTTCAGAATCCTAGAATCGGCCGACGGGAGTTGTCAAGTCGCCAGCAGTCGGATTCTTGATAGATTCGATTAAGGAAATTAATTAATTATGGAAAGTTTATTTAGAAGAGACCGATTCAAGGAGGATGCGGCATGACAGTTTATCTATTAATTAGAAAGAGTCTGTTAGTTTCTTTTTATATTTAGAAAAATATGTAGTTTCTTTTTATATTTAGAAAAATATGTTTCGTATCTGACAAGAACTTTACGTTTAGTTTTTTTCCTATCCAAAAAGGACTAGTATCTATCCATGGGTATAAATATGTATACCCGGGGTCATTATAAACTCTCTCTCGATCAATAAAACTACTATCGGCGCATCGCCACCCTATTTTCCAAGGTTTTTACTTATCACTGGTGGAACTTGGCATCTGGCGCAGGGCTGCATCGGCTTTCGATCTCCAGCGAAGGGATAAGTCCTACGTTCCGCCGGCACCGACAATTGTATCGACTAAATTGGTGTTGTTAAAGGCTACATCCCTTCAACCTCTTGGATTGCTCTGATTCGGTTGATATATTTGCCTACATATTTATCATATATCTTAGTTAATCTAACTTAGCATCTTAATTTGATCAGATTTGTTGAGATACATTGTAGGGTTTATATAGGCATCGGCTAAATTATCTTGCTAGATTAGATTAATTAAGGTATCCACCATCCTAAATTTTAGTCAAAGACTCGATTATTTAGAATTTATGTTTCTCAGCATACTTTGCGATGCATCATCCCTTATCGTAACTAGAATCATAAAGGCTAACCTGTCTTTGATTATAATAAGGGTTTCATTGGGGTTTCAGCTGATGAGTTATCTGGACGTTGCACCGGCTTACAAAGATTGCATATAAGTTGGTTTTAGCCGATCGCAACAAAGGTTTCATTAATTATCTAACCTTCTAGATTTTATGACATCAGACCTCCGGCCGATGTATACTTTAACCATCGGATCAATGTTTATTCTATTACATCATTATTAGCCGATTGATTTCTACCGGATTATATTATTGTTTATTACATTATCATTAGCCAATTGTCTTTATACCGTTATCTATATTGGACATATAGGTGATTGTTCAAAACTCTATCAACATCGGCAAGAACTACTCCATCGGCTTGTTAGTCGATCAGCTATTTGATCTGTTGTTTACATATCTTGTCAGTTGTAGGATCAAGCTGACTGGCACGCTCGCATCTTATCAATTTTTAGATCTGCACTGAAGCTAAGCAAATCTCTCAGGGCGTCGTTGTTGTCGACTTAGTTTGCGCCAACACAGATCCAGCACCATCGGCGGAGCATGGGTTTTTCATCAACAGGGAGTCATTTATTTTTGTCTAGCATTTAGGAACCGAGTTGGTTCTGAGTCCGGTTCGACATGCTTTTTATCTTGGTGTTTCTCCTGCCGAGCTTTGTTCCTGGAAGACCGATGATGGCGATCCCATCTACACAGAGTTGAAATGTTGCCGATCTTAAGGAGGAGGCGAGATCAGGAGATTAAATCCTGGGTTCGTCACTTGATTCTAGAGGATCTCATCTTCTGTTCGTCTTGGTCAAGCACGGGTGGAGGATTTTTCTAGGGTTTTGGCTTGCAATACTTGTAAGCCAAACCAAGTTATTCTCTGAATTTTTGTTGTTGCTTGATTTTTATATCTGCTGTGAAAGAGGGAAAAATCGGGACGCTCGCTGTCAGGTGCTCATCAAGTATCTTATGTTCATGAAACCATATTCAAATATCTATTTATAACTCTAATAATAGATAATAAGTCTAGGAGGAAATTAGTGTAAAAAAGATTCGATGAGAAAACGGTTGTGTAATATTACTGGTGAACTAAAATAGTAACATTTAGTTTGTTTGTTATATGTTTGATAATGTAGGACATACATATGGATAACTCCTCATATCCTAATTCATACTTTTAATAGATTTGGATTTGAGCTCGGATAATATCAGATATATAATTCTATCCAGTAACTTTCCCATGAGCCTCCTGGCCGAGCGGCTAGGAAATACCCATCTTTTTTCACTCCTATTGCTTTCTAAAGGGCTTATAGGGTAGATAGGTGCCGGTTATTGACTATGAATTTAGAACTGGCATCTATAAGGGTGCAGCCGTTTTTTATTTTTGTAGGTGCTAAAAAATTGAAAAAAAATTAGTATTTTTGTTAAGCTCCTATACAATCACACTCTTAATCCCACAATTCATATTATTTCTTCAACTCATATTCATATACGTGTCAAGAAATATTCGAACTCAAGTCCTCTCTATTCACACAAAGTCACCTTAACACCAAACCTACAAATAGTTCTTGTCTTAGAAACAAATGATATTATTTTGTGGCTGCTGCTATCCAAACTTATAAACCATATTTAGCACCATAGATAAGCTCAAATGAAAAGTTTATCAACTACAAAATTGTAGATCTAATCCTTATCTACAACTTTTATATAGGTTTTGTCTCTATATGATATCGTCTACACCTTGTACTCCCTCCGTATTTTAATATAAATAGTACTTTATACATGACTTATTTTTTAAAACTTTTTTTAAAGTTTTTTA